GTGATCAATGGCTCGATGTCAGGATGGCGGTCGGTTTCTAGCGGAGTGCCCCAAAGTTCAGTTCTAGGACCGGTTTTGTTCAATATCTTTATTAATGACCTGGATGAGGGGATGGATTGCACCCTCAGCAACTTTGCGGAAGACACTAAGCTAAGGGGAGAGGTTGATACGCTTGAGGGCAGAGATAGGGTCCAGAGTGACTTAGACAAATTGGAGGATTGCGCCACAAGAAATCTGATGAGGTTCAACAAGGACAAGTGTAGAGTCCTGCACTTGGGATGGAAGAATCCCAAGCATAGTTACAAGCTGGGGACCAACCAGTTAAGTAGTAATTCTGCAGAAAAAGGCCTGGGGGTTACAGTGGATAAGAAGCTAGATATGAGTCAACAGTGTGCCCTCGTAGCCAAGAAGGCTAATGGCATATTAGGTTGCATTAAGAGGAGCATTGCCAGCAGATCCAGAGATGTCATTATTCCCCTTTATTCGATTTGGTGAGGCTACATCTGGAGTATTGTGTCCAGTTCTGGGCTCCCCACTACAAAAAGGACGTGGGCACATTGGAGAGGGTCCAGCGGAGGGCAACCAAAATGATTAGTGGGCTGGAGCATGTGACTGGAGCATGTGACCCAAGGGAGTTGGGTGTGTTTAGTCTGCAGAAGCGAAGACTCGATAGTGACAGATGGCAGAACAAGTAGCAGTGGTCTCAAGTTTTGGTGGGAGAGGTTCAGGTTGGATATTAGGAAAAACTATTTCACTAGGAGAGTGGTAAATCACTGGAATGGGTTATCTAGGGAAGTAGTGGAGTCTCCATCCATAGCGGTGTTTATGTCTTGTCTTGACAAAGCCCTGGCTTGGTAAAACTATTTCACTAGGAGAGTGGTAAATCACTGGAATGGGTTATCTAGGGAAGTAGTGGAGTCTCCATCCATAGCGGTGTTTATGTCTTGTCTTGACAAAGCCCTGGCTTGGTACCTGAGAGGTCCCTGCCAAAGCATTCTCTACCATGGTGCCTGTGGAGAGAGCTTGAAAGCAGTTACTTACTTCTACAGGAATGGGGGATACCTGAGCTGGCCTTCTTCTCCTTCTAGAGGTTACATGCTGCCAGTTTTCCCTTCCTTGTGCTGTACTGCCCTGACTGGCTCTTCAACCTGCTGTGGCTGGAAGATTAGACGGTGTCTTCTATCGAGGAAGTCTTCATCCTCTATGATAGAACATATGGTCAATACTTGGGCCTCCAGTCCTCTAATTTTTTCTTCCAAAATGGTGACCAGCTTGCACTTAGTGCAGATGAAATCCCTTGTATCTTCTGGGAGGAAGACAAACATGACACATGCTGTGCATGTAACAACAGCAGAGCTATCACCATCCATACCTGCCTTCCTTCTGAGAGATTCCTCGGTTGTTAGTCAATGCTTCCCTGAAGGGAAGGAATGTAGTGACAAGATGTTAAAGACTGACGAGTGTATCTCATCCCCTTCCCAACTCCCTCTCCAAACTCCCTGGTCACAAGCTCCCTGGTCTCTGACTCACTCCTTTATAATGCCCTGGACTTCCTGATAGCCTCTCTCCCTAATTAAGTCTCAACCAATGAGCAGAGGCTTCTAGATTTCAAACCCTGGTTAGAAGCTCACAACTTCCACCTGCCAGCCACAGCACACACTCCGTGAGGGGTGGGGGGAAAGGAGAAGGAGGAAAAAAAACACCCTGGTTATTGTTACAGGCTTTCTGCAATCTCAGGTATGATTCTTTTCATGTTTTGAAGCTTTAGCTACAGTAACTAAAAACTTATTTTTTTAATGAAAAAAAAAACTGTCAGTCCCTGTATGGATGTACCGTGCACTTTGGGTATCACTACACCAGAGTGCAAGAACAGAAATGAAATTAACTACAAAAAAGGTCAGGAGCAAAAAATAGGGTTTACTTATGCAAGTCAAGTAGAGTCACTGCAAGAGAATTGAGTCTATAAGGGTGATTTAAACTGACTCATATAATGCTATCATCCAAGGTGATTTAAATGGAAAAGTTAAAAAAAAAACAGAATGAATTCCAAAAAAATTAAATTAATTTAAAAATAGTTTTAATAATCTGAGAAATTATTGGCACATATAAGGACTTCCCATCTGATTCTACTTACATTAAAATTGGTGTTAAAAATTTCCATTCTTCAGTGGGAGGTGGAACAACTCCTAGATTTGAAATACAGCCTATGAATGTTGTCTAAAAGTGTCAAAATGCTTTTGTCTCATTGAAATGTAATGGATTGGTGTGTAAGTGTCTTTTCAAATGGGGAGTTAGGCTCATCAATCACTCAGATGCTTTTGGAAGTTTTATCCTTTATCTGGACAGTGTCTTTCTCCCTGACTCTCTGTCTCTTCTTCAAGGGAATGGCTATTTTCATATATTTAGCTACAGGTCGTTATACCTCTCTTGGGTTCACTCAGTATCTGATCTAGCATAATACAACTCTGTCTGAAGAAATTCCTATTCGCCATCTGTCATGAAACATTGTCTTGAATGGTACCTCAAGGATTAATAGCAATAAACCTTATTAGCTATGTAGTATTATTTTAATATTAAAGATATAAGAAATAATTCATTATTACAGAAAAATGTATAGTTATAAAAGTTTTAATATGTCAATGTTCCATATAGCAACATTTGAAAAGTGTATTTTATGTACAATAAATATGTAGAGTACACACACTTATTACCATGACTAATAATTATTAGATCATATAATCTAATCTATAACTCTGTGACTTTGCATTAGATAGTGCAGGATTTAACTGTAGAATTTTTGCAGCATGCATATCAAAGGCAATAAACAGAACTAATCATATACTCCCAATTAAATGTGGACATGAATTTAGTGTAATGAGGTTCCTATGACTAAACTATAGTGTTTCTTGTGTGGCCTTAGATGAGTAATTTAATATCACTTCCTCAGTCTCTCTAGCTGTAGAGTATGGAAAATATTTTTCTGTTGCATCAAGATGAGATGAAACTTAGTATATTAATGTTACTAACACTTTGAGATCCTTGGAAGGAAAGAACTAGATAAATTTGAAGCATTATTATTACTTGTACTTCCATTAAACTAAAATATATGATTTCCACATTTCTTATTTAGTTGATAGTACTTCAGTACTTCTGAATATGTCTCTGGAAAACCCTATTACAGCTCCAGAAAATAGCAGTCACTAATAGCCACTATTGCCATTTTGGTCTGGAAGTTAAACTTCCCTGGGAGACATTCCAAAAAACCAGACATGTCAATGAAAGCCTGGATTTGGGAAAGCATTTGTGTTTGTCTTAAGCTGTTGCTTATGTCTGTCCTCATTCAGCAAGGTATTTGAGAACATACTCAAGTCCCATGAAAGTTAATCAGGGAATTGGGGCCTTACTGGATTATACTGGGAAGCAAAGTTTCAAACAGTAGAAATCTTCATCTTTCACAAGGAAGCACATGCTGGGCTGAGCCTGTTCCATTGAAACGGCTGAATGTTTTGCTAGTTACTTTAATGGGTGCAGTATGATCAGGAGCCACTTACACTGCTTACTGCATTGTTTTCTCTGGGAACAAAATCTATATACTCTGTGGGGCCAATGGCACAGATATTTTACTTCAAAATGGAGCCTCCTATTTTTAAGGTCAATATTCTGTGAGTTGTCAATATATTTTGCAGGTATTATTGACAGTACGCAGGTGGAGCAGAGGCAGGTTGTTGCAGTGACTGGCGATGGAACCAATGATGGACCAGCACTTAAAAAAGCTGATGTTGGCTTTGCAATGGTATGACCCTGAACATAGTTATTTGTCATTTTCTTTGCATCATAGATTTGCTTAGAGAGAGTTTTTCTGTTTATATAATGCATGGAGTGAAATGGTTTATTGATTGTTCATTTAGTGATGTTCATTTCACACATTGAGAAGTTTCAGCTTTCTGGAAATGGCTGTAATCACTTGTGTAATCAAGGGTTTTTAATGCAGTTCCAGAATGCAATCAGCAGAGAGTTTTGCTTGGTATATTTTTTTGCAAGAATCTTATAAAAATAAATATTGAGAATGTGCAGAATCCTGATGTTAATAGAAGAAAGTTCATTTTGAATTCTTCCTGGTAGCAAGATGGAACAGGAAGAACACTTTCCTATTAAACAGAACATTGTTTTGACTTGGTAAACTCTACCACCAAATACAACTTACTAGTCCACCTACATTTTGTGACACTACTACAGCAACATCTGAAAACAAGAAATGAACAGCATCATAGATACTGAGTTCAATTTGAGCTGTGCAATTTCAATTTGTACTGGCAGTTCTATATAGGCATTTAAAAAAATCCATCAGAACTACAGCAACACGTATATTAGCTCCCTTTTTCATCCTCAGTTGTTATCATCAAATTCTCAAAGAGCTCATCACAAGGTGTTCCCCTGCTTTCTACTGACACACACCTCCAAACCTATTAGCCAACATGTCCAAGACACAGCGGCTACGTCTACACTGGCATGATTTTCCAGAAATGCTTTTAAAGGAAAAGTTTTCCGTTAAAAGCATTTTCGGAAAAGAGCATCTAGATTGGCAGGATGCTTTTCCGGAAAAGTACCTTTTGCGGAAAAGTGTCCGTGGCCAATCAAGACGTGCTTTTCCGCAAAAAAGCCCCGATCGCCATTTTCGCGATCGGGGCTTTTTTGCGGAAAACAAATCTCTGCTGTCTACACTGGCCCTTTTGCGCAAGAGTCTTTCGGAAAAAGACTTTTGCCCGAACGGGAGCAGCATAGTATTTCCGCAAAAGCACTGATGATCTTACATGAGATCGTCAGTGCTTTTCTGGAAATTCAAGCCACCTGTGTAGACAGTTGGCAAGGTTTTCCGGAAAAGCGGTGATTTTCCAGAAAAACTTGCCAGTCTAGACACAGCCAGCATGTACTCACCAGTTACCATTATTTTATTAATGTGATTAAGCAGTTGTAAAAGATACCCAAAGATCCATTTTCTAACTACTGCTTTTTTCTTTCTCATCACTCATTTTTATCATAATTTTCTACTATTTTTCCCCAGGGTATTGCGGGCACCGATGTTGCAAAGGAAGCCTCCGATATTATCCTGACAGATGATAATTTCAGTAGCATTGTGAAGGCTGTCATGTGGGGCCGTAATGTTTATGATAGCATCTCCAAGTTCCTACAGTTCCAACTTACTGTTAATGTGGTGGCTGTGATTGTGGCTTTCACTGGGGCATGTATTACACAGGTAAGCTGAGCTGCAGACACATCACAAAGCAGGGATGCTGAGACTGTCTGATAGCCCAAAGAGCCAAATATATAATTCATCAACTTTTCAGTTGATGCTTTCAACTGGTCACCACTTCTTAAATCCTAGCATGTTGTTAGAAAGCATGGTTCCTGGGCAATAAGTTTGGGAATTATTAATTACAGGTGAGAGTTAGATTTGGAATCATTCATGTTATCATTCATAGAGATATTCCCCAATAGTTTTACATTTGATTGGACTGCAATTGCTGGTACAGTCAAGATGGCAGTATTGTCATTTAGGAATGATCCAGACAGGGAAACTTTCAATTAAGAACAAAGAAAACATTTTGGTGCTTTTAAGTTTTGTTTGCTGATTCAAATAACTAAAAACAAGGACCATCATGTACAAAAATATCTTTCTGACTAATTTTTTCACCTGAATAATCTATTCTTAATTGCCAAGCATAGAATCATAGGGTTGGAAGAGACCTCAGGAGGTCATTGAATCCAACCCCTTGCTAAAAGCAGGACCAATCCCAACTAAATAATCCCAGCCAGGGCTTTGTCAAGCCAGGACTAAAAACCTCTAGAGATAGAGATTCCACCACCTCCCTAGGTAACCCATTCCAATGCTTCACCACCCTCCTAATGAAATAGTTTTCCTAATAACTAACCTAGACCTCCCACACTGTAGCTTGAGACTTCATTCAATCATCTGTTGCTATCCTCATTTACATATTATTTTAGTAACCTTGTCAAACCTTATCCACTATGAGAAATGAAAGAAGAATCAACAGCTTTTTGCTATTCAGCAATAGTTTGATTAGATAGCAAGTGTGAAAAATTGAGAAGGGGTAGGGATTCAGAAGTTCCTATGTAAGGCAAAGTCCCGAGTATCAGGACTGTCTCTATGAAATTAGACCACCTGGTTACACTGATCAGCAAATCACTTGTCACTTGATCAAAAACCCTGATTAACTTATGTACTCACCCAATTAAGACAACTGATGTATTTAAAATATTTGTTTTCTGTGCCTTTCCTCACAGTAAAGAAAACCTGGGGCTCCAGCCACAGTGAGAACGAGTCAGTTGATTCTGGCTCACAGACACAATTCTGTGGGTTTGGTTTTTCACCATGGTTTCGCCATGACATACCCTAACATCCAGCTCTAGCCAAGGCTATATATGTAGCAATCTGACCAAACACAAAAAAATGCAAACCAAGGTGAACACCACTTCAATATCACTACTTTTTCATAAGCATACCTCTTTTTTAAATAGCTTATTTTGGTCAGCAAGGGGCAAGGGAATGTATATAATGAATGGAGCATGCAGGTTTACTGCCTCCAGTATCAAAAAGCAAATGACATTGTTAGCATTTTCACCACATCCCTAAACCAGCAGTTCTCAAGAGTGGCATATGCTGGAGATGAGTGCTTTTGAAAACTCATACATTTGATAGAAGAAATGCAGACCTACAAAAACACCACATCTTCCCTTACCAACCATTGCACAAATATACATGTCTGTCACTGCAGGTAAATTCCATCTTTGATACATACACCTGTGAGACAAACAATGAATAAATCACTAGCTCCACTTCAGGAATATGCTTACACTATAGTCATGTGAAACTTGAGGCCTGGTCTCTCTGTTAAGCCAAGAGGTTGAGCTCCTTTCAACTTATTCTTCTCAATATTCAAGCCTCAGTTGTACTTGGCAAGCTGCAGAAAGGTCTCAGGTAGTCCCATTGGCACTGCTAGGCATCTTCACAGGGATTGGGCACAGCTGTGTTCATTTAGCTCCTCTGGGAAGAAAGGAAGTTCTGATCCTAAGACCGTGGACAGTACTAGATGCTTCTGAAAACATTAGAAAATACTGGTTGTGGAATCTCCATCTCTGGAGTTATTTCAGAGTAGGTTAGATAAATGTCTATCAGGGATGGTCTAGACAGTATTTGGTCCTGTCATGGACTTCAAAGTCCCTTCCAGTCCTAGTATTCTATGATTCTATACCTTACCCAGATGACATACCTGTTGTATCTTTTCAAAGGGAAGCAGAGTAGCAACAGTCCCATTGCTCTCCTATAAACACAATGCCTTTAGGAGCTGCTAATTGCAGGGGTACCCCTCCTTATTGATCCCTACCTTGACTATGCCTTGTAGCCACAACTGAGCCTATGATAAGGTGGAAGGAAGGGGAATTTTGTGGCAGAGGTTTTGTGGCTTTTTTTTCTTCAGGAATACTTCAGATCATATTGACAGACTATTTAGCATTAAGGGATAATGGCTGGTAACTAAAGAGAAGTACAAATATTATAGAAAAAATATTATTATTATAAGTCCCTGACTGGGATGATTTAGTTGGGATTGGTCCTGCCTTGGACAGGGGGCTGGACTCAATGACCTCCTGAGGTCACTTCCAGCCCTGGGTTTCTATGATTATAGGTTCATGTCACTCGTGCTGTGGTCAAAGTCAAAGTGGCCATTTCCTTTTAAATCCCTGTCTTCAGTCATTCCGACATTACTATTGCTCCTCCCCCCCCCCCCAAAACAACTTTTTTTTGACTCCATCCCCCCCCCCCCCCCCAAAAAAAATTATTTTTGGACTAAATTTCTCTTGATTGGTCTCCAACAATTTTTTAATTGCTTGTGAGCTTGAATGAAAATGTGACTCGCTTTTTAAATAATTGTGTCTGTTTTTGTGCTTGGATAATGCAACCATTATTGTGTTGGTAGTTAATTTTTTGTATTGGAAAATAGATTTTTTTTCAAATGTATTACAAATTTTGAAAGTTAAAAACTGAACATGCTCCATGATTTTTTTCTACTAGTTCAAGGCCTCTCTTCACCTAACATCAAAGTACATTGGGAGTCTTTCCATTGGCTTCCAACAGGAATTGAACAAGGCCCTAAAAATACATAATGAAGAACAGTTTTGCTACGATCTCCATCATACGCATTTCCCACAGTGGTATTCTTTTGAATGTCTGATCATTCTGTTAAAAATAAAATTGTCTCTAGGGTTAATATATTTTTATCACTATAAATCCCTATGAAATTGGTCAGTTCTACAATAAAATAGGAAAGCCAAAGATGGAAAACTTCTAAAATGATTTAAAATTAGATATTGTTGAAATATGCTGCAGTGGACTAGAAGTGTGGCTGTGCTTTCCCTTGCAGGCTCAAAGTTAGGCAAACACACTGAAAGACAGTGTTCACTGAAAGACAAGCATTACTAAAAATCCCTTTAGAGAACATACTGTACCCTCTGGTTGTTATAAAAATAGCTGTGGTACAAAATGCATGACCATACTGAAAAATCTTAAGTACAGTATCCAGGTTGTAAATGTATAGGAACAACTTTACACTGGTCTTAAAATATTAATTTGACTGAAACTTTTAAATTCTTATTAACACATAAAGAAAACTAAAAAAACAATTGTTTCCAAAATAGAAGCATAGCTCTCAGTGACCTTGACAAGGGCTTTCTTATACAGCAAACATTTCCTACCCATTTTACTGTGTTTGTACAAGTATTTTGTCCATATTGTACATATAGAATATAATTTTATTCTTAAGTTAACATTCTGGTTTATGGGCAACAAGTTACTTTCCATAATATTTCATCTGGTCTAGAATGAGAGAACTGGTTTCTCTTTTATACTCTTGTCTTTTCTCATAAAATTCCCTGCAATTCATCACTTGCACACAAGATTACAAATGTCAATGTCTGAGTCTGAAAGATTTTATTTTGAATTTAATGCAGGACTTCTGGCTTTTCTGTTTAAAGACAGAATCAAGAAGACAAATCCTCACTTTTATTAATTTTCTATCATTCAGCATGTAGCTTGCAACCATATGGCCTTGGACTTAGTAGAGCCAATAAATTACCTAGAAGTCCAGATCTGGTAATTGCATCAGCACTGCACAGGTAGTAGACTCTTATTCCCATGGAGTGCCAGTGAAGTTAGAGGGGCTACAAATTGGTACAAAGCTCCAACTGTAGGATAGTAGTCAGGAATAGCAATTAAATGAAACCTTAAAGAAGCACCTATGTGCTGCAAGAGATGATGCATGATAGATCGCATGCTCTCCTGAATTCTGAACTAATGCCTTGGTAAGTCATAAAATAAACTCTAGTGCTGAGTTTTTCAGGTAGTGTAAAATGGAGATTCTGATCACTTG